TATGGTTCTACTAATCTTAACATAGATGCAACAGTTGCTGGGTATTGATCCAAAAATTTTTTTTTTATAGCACATTCTGAAGGTTCTACTGGGTCTAATCTTAAGAACAAATTAATTTGAGTATCTGCAAGAGTTTTGAATTCACATCCAATTGGATGCGGCTTTCTCGGTATTTTTCGTTGAAATGGACTTTTATCAACTTTGCCCATCCATTAGCATATTGATTCATCCATGCAAAGGTAAAGACCAGGTAGGATAGCTTTTGTAAGATTTTCGTTAAATTCATCGTGAAACTGCTGTGCAAAATGAAAGGGATCATCATTTGCTGGTATATCTGTTAATGTCAAATATTTTATGATATTTCGAAATCATTGATATGACATGTATTGACCAAATGCCAGTGAAACTCCAGCTGTTTCTTGTTTAATGAACCAATAATCGCAAATATCAGCATATTTTACATACGTCATAATCGTTAAAATACCAATAAATCTTATAAATTCTATCCATGTTAAATCACTCCACTCACATTCACATCACGCGCACTCTTATTTGTAGATGGAATTACCACTGACATTATAAAATCAACAGGCATAAACTGCTTAAAAAATTGTCTGGGTGTTGCTTTAGAGATATCAGCAATGTGTACAACTGGTGTGCTGGAATAGGAGCGGAACACTTGGCGAGGATCAATAGTAACAACTTTATTGGTTCATCATACATTATTAACATTACTAACGTTTATGACTTCTCCATCTTCAGAACTATCATTAGTATTACTTAAAATATCTGTTTCACTATCCATTTTGCTATCACTTGTTCTCTTTTCGTCATCCATATTTTGATCGGTATCTGAACTAGTTGTGGAAAAAGCTACAAACTTCATACGGCCTGATGAGATCTCAATTTCATTTTCTGGTTGCGAATTGAGACAAATTATCCAGTAATTATTACCTGGTGCTACTCGTAGAACTGTTGCTGAAAGTCATTTAGTCTTTCATAATTCTCCTAAAAGTGGTTGAGCGATGTTTTCACCTACAACAGAACCTAAAACAGAAACCTTGGTGCCTTCTCTAATATTCGGAGAAATCTGTCACATTTTAAAGGTTAGATAAAGAAAGAAAAAGTTCAATGAGAAAAGAACTTCTATATTCCCATACATACCTTACACTAAGAAACATTCACATTTCACATTTATTTCGCAGTCGATTTTAATTTACATTGAGAAATCAACTTATTTATTTACTGCCTCATATGTACAAATCATGTATATAACGCCTACTTACTTAATATTTTAACCTTTTTTAAAGACGGCTATTGTTTGTATCCCCAATTTTGTTAGCTATACCCACTGTCAGCCGAAATCTAACCAGAATTATATAGTCATGTAATTGATTTTTCGCCTAATGAACAAATTTGGGAGCATAATTAACAATTTCCTTTTTTAGATAAATAGATTTATACAGTATACTCTATACATGATTTTGCCTCACGTATAACTCTGATAAGCCTATGATTTTTATTACAGAGATCCCTTGACATAAGTATATTGCTAAATAAATTTTGAATCCTATTATCTATTTTAAATTGGTAGAAATTTCAGTTTATTTTCTGTCATAATTTAGTACAATGTACTAGATTTAGTACAGGTAAATCCAACCCATTAATATTAGTTTTTTTTTAAAAAAAAAAAATTTAATTAAAATTATTTCATTAAGGCTTACCTACAATCCAAAGATTCCACAATTTAAAGATTCTGGATCATTTTACAAGGCAAGTAATATTAGTTTTTATTTTTTTAAAAATAAAAAAAAAAATCTAAATTAAAGAGTTACCATTAAGACTTACCTTTAAAGGTTCACAGTTTATAAGTTTCGAATCGGTCTACAAGATAAGTAAGATTAATTTTATTTTTTAAAAATAAAATTAAAAGAAAAAAAAAAATCTAAATTAAAAAGTTATCATTAAGATTTACCTCCAAAAGTTCACAGTTTATAGGTTACGAATCGGTCTACAAGGTAAGTAAAATTAGTTTTTTTTTTAAAAAATAAAAATTAAAAAAAAAATTTAAAATCTTTGGACAAATATTTTTCGACATAACTTCATAATGACTGCGTCAACTCACATAATAAAATATTTATTCAAAAGCCAAAAAGTAGGAGATTTTATTAAAAAAATTAATAGGGAATGCGTTTTCCATTTTTCTCAATTATAAGCTTACATCTCTTCTTCATTGAACCAACTAGACTTTTAATAATGTGCTGTGGAATTTTTAACTATTTCTCCTTCATAAAATTTTCCAAATCCCCAATATTTTATGATTGTCACATCTTTACATTTCTTTTAATAATTGTCTATAAATTTTTTATGGGGTTCAAGTCAGAACTGTTAGATGGCCAGTCCATAACAGCTAGAACTTTTCTTTGCAAAAAATCCTTAGCTACATTACTCATATGCTTAGAATTTGTATCTTACTGGAGATGCCAATTATTACATAGCATCCTCTTGATCTCAGAAAGATGCTTCTTTATTATTCCAACATAGAATTGCCCAGTCATATTCTCTCAGAAGCAGTAAAGATTGGTTTTGCCCAAATACAAAATTCATCCCACGCGTTAATTCTTGACCAGTCCTTTAAGATGCGACAAACTGGTCATTGACCCTTATACTAATATTTCACAGTATTACTAAATAACTAAAAGAATGTTTTGTTTGAAAAAAGAGTGCAATTCCAGTCATCATTCATATAGTTTTGAGCCTATTCTATACATTTCTGCTTATGCAACCTTGTAAGCATCAGGGTTGTAATGGGTCACTTTTTATCATAGCTAAGGTTAGTTAAGTACTATAAAACTGTATTGTAAGACACGTTTACACCCTTTAGCGATAATTTAAATGCTAATTTTCTAGAAGAAACTGCTGAATTTCTTCTAATATACTGTCCAAAAGTTTTTGAGTTCTCTGAAGTAATTTTTTTAGGGCGACTGGGGCATTTTTTGTGGATGACGCTTTCAGTTTTTTTCAATTTTACTAAGTTGAAATATATTATGAACCTTGGTATATTTGTTTTATGTCTTATTTTAGCTGCATTCATAATCTTAGAATTTCACAAATGTTGAATGGATTGAGCCTACGCAGTCTTGTTGTCAGTCTTCATTTCATTGCTAAATTAAAAAAATTTTTTCTAAGATAAAGTTGACAATTAAAATGCCAATTGATTGTCCAGATGCTATATTTTAAATGTTTAAAATTTAATCCGATTTGGATTTAAATTGGCTGATTTATGTGACTTTTAATTTTATTACTAATCATTTATAGATTTTGCACCAGACTGTAACTTCGCTGCGGCCAATCAGCAAAATCGATAAAATGTCATATGAATTTGCTAATTTTGGACACGATTTATTTACAATTATACAAAAATGCAATATTTTGACCTCTGATGTCTGGAACATTCAAAATATTGCAAAATTGCAAAAATTAGTTAAATTAATTACTAAGTGTTGCAACAAATTAATGAATATCATCAAT